TATGACAATACCTTACTGGCTTTAGCAAGTGCTGATTGACATTGCATATTGTTGCCTTGTTTGTTGTCTATAACAATTCCCAAATCCTTCTCGTATGCTGTTATCCTAATTAGGGTTTAAGTTGTTGTGCATTAAGTGCATTTTTCTACATTAAATTTCATCTGCCATTTGAGTGCTCAGTCCCCCAATCTATCTAAATCCCTCAGGAAAGTAATATGCTGCTCCCATTGTATTACTTTACAGAAATGTGGGTAATCTGCAAACACTGAAACCTGGCTTTCAATGCCTATTTCAAGATCATTTATAAATATGTTAAATAGAAGGGGTCCCAGAACAGAACCCTGAGGGACACCACTTACCACTTTTGTCCATCTTGAAACTTTACCATTAGTGACAACTCTCTATTCTCTATATTTAATCCCTTAAGGACCAAACTTCTGGAATAAAAGGGAATCATGACATGTCACACATGTCATGTATCCTTAAGGGGTTAAGCCAGTGTTATACCTAAGAACAAGAAATTTTCATCTAGACGAAATTCTTTTAGTTTTAACTCTAACAGTCTAACCTATTGTGAGGAACCGTATCAAACACAAAGACAAAATCCAAGTACATCACATCCACTGCAACACCCTGATCTATACTTCTACTTACTTCTTCATAGAATGCATTTAGGTTCGTTTGACATGACCTATGTTTCATAAAACCATGCTGATTATTGCTAACAATGTTTTTCCCAATAAATTTCTGAATATTATCCCTTAATAGCCATTCAAATACTTTCCCAGCCACAGAAGTTAAGTTTACAGGTCTATAATTTCCAGGCAAAGATGTTGAAACCTTTTTGAATATAGGAAATTGTAAATTGTCACAATGACTCACATTAAATTTTCCTGGGTATCTGCGATCTGAGAGGGCAAATAATAGTCTGTTAGTCCTTGACCCATGAAGGGAGGGAAGCCCTTGATAATTAATCTTTGGCATACAGCTTAACAAACAGATTATAATATTGGTTTTTTTGAAAAACCATGGCATAGCTGTAAGTAGAACAACACTAATAGGAACAAGCCACCTACTGTTCACTGTCTACCAGTATCTACCATTGCTTGTCAATTTTACCAAACCTACAGTCCCTTCACATTAAATTTAGAAAACAATATTGTTTTAGGTACTAGAGGCACTTGATGGTGCAACTCATAGGAAAATATTACATTTAATGCTTTCCTATGAGAAGCATTGGTTGTACACACAGTGCTTGCCATGTATGCATATTAGGCCCCTAATGCTTCTCTATTAAAGAAACACTATGGGGTCAGGAACATAAACATTGATTCCTGACACTATAGTTTTAAAAACACTATTTAGCCCACTGTCCCCTTCCTTGCCCCCCCTTAAATAGGGTGAAAACATACCTTATTTCCAGCACCACTGTTTGGCTCCACCCCTGATCTGCCTCCTTTGCTGACATCATCAGAATTGATTATCTCAGCCAATCACAATGCTTTTCCATTAGGATTGGCTGAGATTGCCAAGGAGGCAGGCCAAGCATCCTGTTGGCCAATCAATATCTTCGCATAGAGATTTAAGATTTCCAAGGGGAAAGTCCATGCAGAGGGTGGAGCCTTCATAAAATCCTTGTCCGGAAGCTCAGCTCCCAGGTCCCTTTTGCTTCCACTTCAATTACAGGGTGGTGGAACAGAAAGAAATAAAGTGCAGAGTGTAAACAAAGGCCAAGTAAAGTGCAAAAATAATTATTTATTACTCACATATGAATTAAAAAACTGCATTTAGAGCAGTCCTACGCATTTCGTCACCTCTAGGAGTTTCCTCAGGGTCAAATGCTGCAGAATGTGCAATGCAACAAAGAATTAAAAATTCCCTCCCTAAGTCTTTTTTAACCTCTCTTAATTACTCAAGCATTGTTTCTACAGGTTTGTCGGTGTTCTCCAGGTGAAGTTACATAGTTACATAGTTACATAGCTGAAAAGAGACTTGCGTCCATCAAGTTCAGCCTTCCTCACATTTGTTTTTTGCTGTCAATCCAAAAGAAGGCAAAAAAAAACAGTTTGACAGTTTGAAGCACAATTTTGCAACAAGCTAGGAAAAAAATTATTTCTTGACCCCAGAATGGCAGTCAGATTTATCAATTACCCTACATTGAAAGATTATATCCTTGAATATTCTGTTTTTGCAAGTATGCATCTAGTAGCTGTTTGAACATCTGTATGGACTCTGATAAAACCACTTGTTCAGGCAGAGAATTCCACATCCTGATTGTTCTTACAGTAAAAAAACCTTTCCTTTGCCTTAGATGAAATCTTCTTTCTTCTAGTCTAAACGCATGGCCTCGTGTCCTATGTAAAGTCCTTTTTGTGAATAGATTTCCACACAATGGTTTGTATTGGCCCCGAATATATTTGTATAATGTTATCATATCCCCTCTCAGGTGACGTTTTTCTAAACTTAATAGGTTTAAATTTGTTAACCTTTCTTCATAGCTGATATGTTCCATTCCTTTTATTAATTTTGTAGCCCGCCTCTGCACTTTTTCTAGTGCCATAATATCCTTCTTTAGAACAGGTGCCCAAAATTGCACAGCATATTCAATATGGGGTCTTACCAGTGATTTATAAAGAGGCAAAATTATATTCTTGTCCCGAGAATGAATGCCCTTTTTCATGCATGACAATACCTTACTGGCCTTGGCCACTGCTGATTGACATTGCACATTGTTGCATAGTTTGTTGTCTATAACAATTCCCGAGTCCTTTTCGTGTGTTGTTATCCCTAATTCGCTTCCATTAAGGGTATACCTTGCTTGTGTATTCTTCATGCCGAAGTGCATAACTTTGCATTTTTCAACATAACATTTTATCTGCCATTTGAGTGCCCAGTCCCCCAGTCTATCTAAATCCCTCTGCAGCAAATTAATATCTTGCTCACATTGTATTATTTTACAAAGTTTTGTGTCATCTGCAAACACTGAAACATGACTTTCAATGCTGTCTTCAAGATCATTTATAAATATGTTAAATAGAAGGGGCCCCAAAACAGACCCCTGAGGGACACCACTTGCCACCTCTGTCCAGCTTGAAAATTTACCATTAATGACAACACTTTGTACTCTGTTTTTAAGCCAATGTTCTACCCAAGAACAAGCATTTTCATCTAGACCGATTTCCTTGAGTTTGAACACTAATCTATTGTGTGGAACTGTATCAAATGCCTTGGCAAAATCCAAATAGATCACATCCACTGCAACACCCTGATCTATACTTCTACTTACTTCTTCATAGAACACAATCAAGTTAGTTTGACATGACCTGTGCTTCATAAAACCGTGCTGATTTTTGCTGATAACCATGTTCTTCTCAAGGAATTCTTGAATATTATCCCTTAATAACCTTTCAAATATTTTACCAGCCACAGAAGTTAAGCTCACAGGTTTATAATTTCCAGGCAAGGATTTTGAACCCTTTTTGAATATAGGAACCACATCTGCCTTCCTCCAATCCTCCGGAACACTTCCTGAAAGAAAAGAATCTTGAAAGATTAAAAACAGACCTGTGATTTCCAGGTTCTGCTGTTATTACGTCATCACGTCCCATACGTGATGACATGGTGCATGTCACATGTGCGTACCATTGCAGACTTGAAAGATAAGGCTCCTTCCTTATTCCGATCCTATTCTTCACGTCATCGTGATAATAGTGAGTTGCCAATTGGAATTTGCGTACTGAGTGGCAATTGTGTACAAACTACACTATGTTATATTTCTTTTGTCACATGTGCGTACCATTGCAGACTTGAAAGATAAGGCTCCTTCCTTATTCCGATCCTATTCTTCACGTCATCGTGATAATAGTGAGTTGCCAATTGGAATTTGCGTACTGAGTGGCAATTGTGTACAAACTACACTATGTTATATTTCTTTTTTCTGTAGTAGAACTACCCATTCATACCACATATTTTGTATTCAAAAGACAAGAGGAGATCATCTAGGTAGTTGCATCTACTTAAGGAAAGTGCTGTTTCTTTTTATTGTAATTTCCACATACTGCAGTATTTGCACTTTATAGGGGCTTGTGTTCAGCTTTGTATATAAACTGGTTATAGTGTCTGGAGTCCACTGGTACTGTCATGTCATTCAGCAATAAACAGTTTTTAATGTTTTTATATTTTAAGGCTTACCAAGAGTCCCCAGTAGGGATGTGCCTGGGCAAAAAATTTGACTCGGCACTTTCGAAATTCGGGACTTCGGGAATTCGACACTTTGGCAATATCCCAGCCCTACCCCCAACCCTTACCCTAACCCTACCCTACCTCTACCCCTAACCCTAACTCTACACGTAACCCTACTAGGGTTAGGGATAGGGGTAGGGTTAGAGGAAGGTTGGGGTAAGGGTTAGGGGTAGGGGTAGGGTTAGAGTTAGACTCCTGTCATCAATATACAGAAGGTGAGGTATAGATATTATACCCAACAAGTGGAGCGCTATGAACAATGTAGGGATACACTCACCCCTTTGGTACAATGACAGTCCTAAATATTGATGCTTGGATGTACATATAAAAGGAAACAGAAAAAAACAAAAAAATATAGTGCAGACGGTTCCCAAATATAAACAAGTGATGGTAATGAATGACTGGAACAACTCACATGTAAAATTGGCTCCGTAAATAGATCCTTTATGCTCTTTGGGCAGCAAACACACCCCTTTGTCCCAGGCGGCACCCCTCCAGGGATATACAACGAGAAAGAAAAACAAGACGGGCTGTGTAGAATGGCACAAACTGTAATAGTATTGTAGATGGTAATGGTTATGCTCACCTTCACCAGAGCCCTGGAATCCCGGCTCTGAGGTTGATGGACAGTGTGCTTATTTTGGGGATAGCACTCTCCCAAATGAAGTTCCTGATGGCTAGGAAGGACTTTGGACTAGAGTGTAAAGTAATAGCATTAAATTTATTAACATTACAATAAAACAGTATAAATACGTTCTAGAAAATAAAAAAGTCCAATTAAAAGTCCGAAAAAATCAGCTAAACGCATTTCACTCTGTGAGCTTCCTCATAGCTGTATGATAGCCTCGGGAATCCTTCTTCTTTTTAAATGTTTGAGAGTCCTTGTGGGTCCTCCTCTTGGGGTCACTTGGTATCCAATTGGCCAATCACATAGACAGACCTCTTCCTTATATTATGTGCTGTGAAAAACATCTGTGGTGGAAAGGTCTTGATTTGCCAACAGTGTTGTCAATCTTTAACATTGCTTAATTGCAAACTATTCGCTGGTGGTAACATGATTGGGCGTCCAATGGTGTTCATTGTTGGCGGACGTGATAGTGCGGATAGTTCCACCCACCACTTCCACCCTCCATCGCTGATATAGGAATATCTAAAATGAGCGAAAAAGAACAAAAAATAAACAAATATGCCTCTAAAAGGGGATGTGCTGTCCATCAAAAACTAGCTGTATATCAAAATTCCCATCAGAGAGACTGGGCGCCGACTGGGGGGAGTGGTCACGCCGATGTCACCGGAGACTGTGCATCGGACATGCGCTCCTCCCCAGGCAGAATACAGACCAGAACCAATCTTCAAGGAAGGAGGGTCTAGGGGGAAGTTGAAGGGGGAGTATATGTTCCGGCAGCAGTGGTACTACTAATGAGACTCACAGGTTAAATGACGTATCGGGCATATATATTTACATTAACATTGTCATTAAAACCAACTGAAAAACAGGAAATGTAATAAATTAGAATAAGAAATAGAAGAAGCAGGAATTTGAGTTAATAAACTAGGTAGCATCCATATGTGTGATGGAGGGGGGTATAATGCTAGTATAGGAGGGGTGGCCGTGATGACATCACAGTGAGATACTGTGTGTCAGCCCAAAAGCTCCTCCTAGCTTGCATTTATGCCTGGAAACTCCATCTTGGGGGGGTGCATGACAAGGGTAGAATGGGGGACAATCCCCCAAAAAACTTCCATATATAGTTGGTTTTTAAAAAAGGATTATGTAACATATAGAGAATAGAGGAGAGAAAAACAAATAAAAAACAATAGGTTACAATATAGTGAATACATTTTTCCACAGTTAAAATTCACATCAAGAATTGTAAAAAGATCCTAAAAGAATATGGATTTAAAGTGCAAAAGATGGAAAATTTGGAAAAACACTGATAATGATAAAAAAAACATTTTGGATGTAAAGTTAAAAATAAAAATATATAAAAATATCGGAAAAATAAATGTAAGTGATAAAAAAAAAAAAAAAAAAATTAAAGAAAATGGCATAACTCAAATCGATGTTTAAACCATTGGGTTGTAAAGTCCCAAGGTTAAACATCTATCTCATTTCATGTTGACCTACAATTTTGTTAAAATCCCCCCCTCTCCAATTCCCTAAAACTTTATATATACCAAAAATTGGAAACATTATGTCCCTCGTATCCTTTCTTAATATTTCTTATGTGTTCCTCTACCCTTGTAATACCTTAATTTTACCTCCCTCTCCTGTTTTGCCACTTTTCAGAAATCCGAAGCACTTCGGCACTTCGGAAATTTGGCACTTCAACAATTCGGTTTGGTACTTCCGAAATTCAGCAATTCGGCACTTCGGCAATTCGAAGCATCCAAATGTCCGAATTGCCGAAATTCAGCGGAATTTAAATTTAAAACCGAAAAGAATTGCACATGTCTAGTTCCCAGCAGCCCATCCCCTCTCTGGTGCGTTTGGCTAATAAGGAAGTATTAGCTTGAGCAACAATAATCAGCTGTGATTGGCTGACAGTATCAACTGACTGCTTTTAGCCTATCAGAACTGCAACTAACAGTATCAAGGGTATGACAACAAGGAAGTGTGTAAACTCTGCCTTAGCCAAACCTCCAGAAGGGGACAGGTTATAGGTTACCACGGACCCTTATTTAGTGTTAAACTGCTCTAATGTGGTTTAACACTGAATAGAGGGACAGTGCCAGGAAACTCTAGGCACTATAGCCAATTCAAACAGATGAAATGGTTATAGTGACTACTGTGTGCCTTTAGTGACATTGTGGGGCATGGAGAGATGAACAGCACTGAGGGAGTCTTGGCTCTGGAAAAAAGTAAGTAAAAATATTTTTGTTTTAAAAGTATTTTTATGGCAAATCAGGCACTGAATGTAACTAGGGAAAGTGGCAGTGCTATGCATAAAGATTTAACAGGTTCTATGGAATATGTTGTAAGAAATGTAAGACAAAAGCTTGCTGTACTGGTGCAAAAAGTCAGACACATTTAATAGATGCAGAGAAAGCAAAATACACAAACATTTTGGCAACTGTGTTATCGCAATATACAATAATATCCTCAGGCTCTGCTTACCAATTAGTTCATGGGACTTCTTGGTAATATTACAGTGAATGTGAAGGTTAATACATAAGTAATTAAAGTGTTTTCTTAGTAAATGTTTTTGCAACACAGTCTAGACTAATTGACTCTGTTTCAATTTTTAAATGTGCTGTATGCATTTAAAAAAAGCTCCAGTACAATTAATGATTTAATTGGGACTAGATATTGTTAAATAAATGGAAAAAACTTAACAGGTATATATAATTGGCAATGAAAGGATTTTTCAGTTAGGATTTTCTTTTCTATGTGACTGACCGGGTTGAATTTGGAAATATTTGTGTTGTGCTTAAAGTTATGGGCCAGTATTTTATGCCATGACCTGTGTGTTTGTTGTAAAGCTAACCTGATGCTCCTGGCCTTCCTCCAGTGCATTGTGGGAAGCAGCCGTGCTGAAGGATGCTGGGAGGGCATTACAAACTGAAGGTCACCTTTCCTCTCCCGGGTTTTCTCATCACAGCACAGAGATGAAAGCAGCAATTTGCCTAACAGATAAAATAAAGCTATTGGCTCCACATTCTGCATACAGAAACATCATGCATGGTCCCTGGGAATAAAGCCTTTATCATTACAAGAAAGGATTGGATCTAAGAGGAGAACTCAAATATAACAACTTTTCTAGGTTAACATATTTAACCCTCAAATAATCTAGTTTGCTGATGACAACCAGAGACAGAAGAGAATGTACTCTGAGCAGGGCAAAAATACAGTAACAACCAGTCTCTTCACATACAGGGTTGGATTCACTTCTACCATCTCACAAAAACAAAATTCACTTCTCAGATGCCAACTCCATGACTTGGAAGATGCACAAGAAAGTCAGGAATATATCTTTGCCTCCCTACCTCCTTCTTTCTGCAGAAAAAAAAATGAAATTATCACATGATATTATATTCTCACATGATATTATAACAGTATACTAAATATATCTAAAAAGGGAAAAATGCACAATTGTAGTGTTAGTAGAAATCCCCATAAGACCGGTGAGCATAGGAAACTTCCTACTGACTAGGCCCTGGTCACTTAGATTGTAGTGACTTAGGAATGGAGACATATCAGTATACTGTGTTAAAGTAGAATAAACTTAAACTAATAAAAATACTCTATGAATAAACTTTCCAGGGGATAAATGATAGCTGAATGAAACTCAAAACTCATTGGGTAACGGAGAAGACTAAATTCAGATGTCACATAAAAACAAGGTTCAAATCAGGCTAGCCAAGTCACAGTGTATTTCTAAACAGGTTACCCTTTCTAGACATAGTCTAAAATGTTCTCTGCGTTTCAATAGTCTATGCGTTTCTAAATAGCAATACTAATAAAAAAAATGTTTAATTTTATTGAAAACAGTAAACAAACAAAAAAATTTAAAAAAAAAAACCTTTCGGGATTTATTACTGATTCACTTTTTTGTAATGTATCCATTTGACTGTCCCATGAGCTAAATTCTCACTACATTATTTTCACATTTTGTACAGTTGTACGTTTTATATATTGTCCATGATCATAGTCAGATCATCCTCACTCCGCCAACCCCTACTGTAAGGTAGTTTGGGTTCTGAACACTGGCTAACCCTGTAGACTAGAAAAACATTTTTATCCCTGCTAGCACTACAGACATAAAGGGTTCCTGGTAAGACTGTTAAAGTGCTAAGTGCACCAGATAGGTCTATAGAATAATTTTCGAGGTAGTATGTACACCTCATAGCACTCTAGTGGTTTTCCCATCTCTAAAATTTGTATAAAATTTGAATAAAAGGTCTGAACTTCCTCAGGACCAGAGCAATATGTTAATCAAATGGTTAATCACAAATGGACATGAAAATTACTTTAGCTGCAGATTTGCAATGTATTCTTTTGCCAATGGCTACATTTTGCCTATTGCTACCTTTTACCTACTTACTTTGAGAATGATTTTTGTTTTTCCTTTCCAATATGGTCGATTTGCAAGAAAAGGGTTAAATAGTAAAAAGTGGTTTAATGTTAAAATTCAGTAGCTTGGCAAGTTTAGACAGTAATGTGTTAAACACCAATTACCTGTTTACTGTTTAATCATATATTGTGACAGTGACACTTTCTTTTTTCATTACAGGGAGTGATTTTAAACAATGATATGGCTTTGAAAGGGACCTAGCAAGAAGAACGTAGATTGACTGTATCAGCAGCAGGGATGGAAGAGGCAGAGCTGTTATTCCTGACAAAGACAGGGAAGAGGAGGAAGAAATGAATAATCAGGCAGGAGGCAAAGAGAAGAGGGTTAGCAGGATAGCATTAAAATGTCACAGCTAGCCACAGTGGAGAAAAGAGGATGTCTTCATACTGTAAAGTCATTGAAAAGGCATAGAGATGGAAGGAGCAGTGAGTGATGAAGGAAAGACCCATTCAGAGCTGACTGAGAGGAGGGGGACAGTGAGGAGCACAGACAGACCTGCCGTGTAAAAGTTCCAAAGTGCTGATACAGTGATTTGGTGCTATTTAGCTGCTGTTCATGGCAGGAGCAGCAGGAGGGAGTGCAGACTTGTGGGAGTCTCAGTGCCCCCTGTGTGGAGCTCTAGAGCTGGATATTGCGTGGGGCTCTGAGCTGCAGAATTAATACCCAAATAGAGAAGGAAAAATCACCAGTATTGGAGGAGAATGTATGAGAGGCACACGTTGAGCATCATTTCCACCCGGTAAAATTGTTTTACCTGGATCAATACGAGAATAGAACGTTTACATGGACAGAAGACTTGGCACCATCTCTGGCTCATGACATGGACTGCTGAAGTCTGGAAGCCACCCCATCTATTTCTGAAGATCCCACGGAGGCTCCTAATGGAAAGGAGCCTTTAGCTGGAGGAGCACGCACAGCAGACGCCAGTGAATGGATTCTGGATATAATACTATGTTCAGCTTGCTTGGAGTATGCGTGGAGCCTCTTAACGCAGGGGAAGTTCTGGACTCCCCACCAACTGGGTAATTGACTCTTCTTAGACACTTCCTCAGAGATCTGACTTCAGGTGACTGGTAAGAGAAAATAAAAACCTCACATTCCCCACTGCCCCCTAAAGTCCAAACATTCGGTGCATAGAGTCCCTGTTTATCCCTTATTTTATTTCCTTTGAGTGTCAGAAAGGAAAATATAAAGAAAGTCTTAGACTGGAGCAGACTGTATAAACAAACTTCATGTATTTTGCCAGACAGAATGCTATGGATGTTGTAGTTCTTGAACACTTGGGGGTCTCTCCCTTGTCAGAGCTGCTGTGTAGGGTGGTGTATTGTCTTGTGGATTGTTATACATAGGTATAACCTGGCATTACACACACTTATAGACATATAACATCATTCTTGCTTCAGATAAACAACAAAATAATTACTTGTAATTGATCGAGAAAAAAATAACAAGTGCATGTCACAGGGCACCTCACCATTGTTAACCTTTCCATATTTCTGCTACAAATGTTAAATCACAAGAGTCACAGTTTACTAAACTTGACATATGTGTATGTAGGCCATTATGACCCCGCCCAGTTTCAAATCCCATTAAGGGTATAATAATAGCCATCACAATATTTCCTAGCGCTCTCTCTCCACTTAGTGGCCAATTCCCAAATGGCTCCTTCAGATAAAGAGGGTATGAAGAGTGCATTGCCATAAACAAGTGGTGACTCCTGTGATGGAGGAGAAAGTGTTAATACTAAATAGTAAACACCAGTCTCGCACATTGCAAAAGCAGCTCATTGTTTTTCCGAATGGCACTTGAAGGGTTAACATGCATCTATATGAAAATGAATTCAGGAAACATGACACCATTACCAGGCACTTGTTGTTTTGCTGTCAGACGCTACATACCAATAATGCCTCATCCACTGGACTGTGCAGTGCAGAATGCTTATCTGCCTTGCGAAAGTGGATCACCGGTAGTAGAAAATTAAATTATTATCCATTTTAAACGGTAGACGATGTATTAATGGACTTCCGAAATAGCTTGCTGTGTGTAGCAGCTAAACCAGTTGCAAACTACTCACTTTTATACTTTTTGACAACAATCTATGATAATAGCAAAATTGCAAATATTAATAGACAAGTGCCAATATGCATCCTTTTAATCCCATGAAAAGTTATTGATAGCACAATATGCTCATAAAAGCAGTTATGATTATGTTTAATAAAAAAAATAAGAAATGATCCCAAGGCACACACCGGTTTTGCACATAAAAAGAGTATTTATTCACGCATAGAAAATAGAGGCATCATTATGGCAGAGAGAAAGTGCATAGTATAGTGCTAAACCAGTATATGGTACCAAAACCACAATGCAAGTAAAGTGCTAAATGCAACCCATTAAAAAAAGGTATTCTGACCAAGAGCAGGAGAAATGAAACCCCAACCTTTCGGCTGTGAAGCCTTCCTCTGGGCTTATATTTAAAACAGATACGCAGAAGGCGAATGTAATACCTGTTGGATTATTTTGGTATATATATATGATGTGTTCTGATTGGCCATGGGTATTATTTATAATTACTACCTCTTCAAGTAAAAAAAAAAAAGTTACTAATGAATTGTTTAATTAGTGAACTGTTTGAAATCAATTTGTGATTGGAGAAATGATCACTGATATTCAGAACTGAAAGATTATTTTATTTTAGGTTTTTTTTGGTGTTTTTTATTCTATTTTTGTATTTTCAGTTCAGTAGTCTATTGTATTAACATATCCACAGAACTAGCCACAGCCTAAAAGCATTATATAAAAAGAAAAAGATTTATGAGTTCTACTCAAAGACATTCTGTAAATAGCTCCACAGTGAACATAAACTCTACTTGTGTCAGATGAAGGTTTCCTGTAAGTAAAAATAGAATTTGGAGATATTGCATTCATATGCAAAATTTTCTACTGCACAGATTCATTAGTATCACTCAATAGAAATTTCAAAATAGGCAACAGACAATCTAATGAAATAGAGCAAGTGTACAATTATTCTAAAAGTAGATTGCAAAATTATCCTAATTTTAGCAGTAAGGACAATTTTATTGAATCAATTGTATCTAATATTGTAAATTTCCATTTTTTTATTATTAAAAGCTGCTTTGAATTATATTCTGACTGATAAGTAAAAATGTTAGCAAAACATCCTATTTGCAACCATTTGAAATATAGTTCTGGATTCTCTTAGCAGAATACGGGTTACTTACCTTAGTCTGCTAAGAGAATCAATTCAAAAATGCTTTAGTCATACCAGAACCTGCTAGTTTAATACTTGGGGGTTTATCCACTAAACAATGAACGATTAAAAAAAAAAAAGCCAACATAAGTTAAAAATTAGCAAAATCACATGTGTTTTCAAATAGGCTGTATTGGCTTGAGGTTTGAATATTCAATTTTTTGTAATTCACCACAGTTAACTATTTACTAATTAAACACTTTTAAGTTAATTCAGTAAACTGAATTGCAGCAAATGAACATCTGCCTGGTAAAAATAAGGCACAAATTACATACTTCAAGTCATCTGTAGTCATAGTTTGTCCATTTCAAACTAAACTTTGCCATGTTTAAAATTGTTAAAATGTTGAGTTTAGCGATGAAATTAGGTTTATTTATAAAGAGTGAATTGTAAGTGAATGGAGATGCAAATTGCACCATTTATAAATATAGCCGACATGGAACATTTTGCAAACTCATCTATTGTAACATGGCTACTCAAGTCTAAACAGTTTTGAGAATAAACAAACCCCTTTGCTTTCTACTC